GGACAGTTTCTTCATCAGAATATCTCCACAATCATTATCTCATCACACACCAGGTATCACTGATACACATTGTACCACCATGACATGTAAATTGGTCATCATCACAAATAGTAGCTGAAAATAATACAATGGAGGGGGGGTGATTATTGAGTATCTGATTTCCACTTGTCGTTAGTTATTAGAGATTTTGGGAATATGTAGATTGGTTTCTGACATCACAGTTATGTCAAAATGTCTTTATTTGGTGTTACAAAATTGATTTATTAGATATTACCCTTAATTGTCAGTAAGATCAAATAATATCAATATTTGTAGAGCTTATCATGGAAGGGAAATTATTTTAGAGAAATAAATTTGTTGTTTCTAGAATTCTCTCAACAAAAACAGAAAAAAAAATATTATATTGATCAACTCTACATGGCTTCAGAAATTGAGGTTGTCCCAGACAATTACTTTTATCATGATACAACGCAATTTTAAATTTTCCTTGAAACACTTGCTACCCAGATTTCAAAAATCACTTATTGGTATATGAATATTATCATAGTTTATATATTTTAGCACAAAATAAATATTTTAATTTGTCATTTATTGCATTTCACAACTGGGCTTCTCATTTGCATACTATATTTTTATAGGAAAAGTTAATTTGTCAGATTGATTATATTTTTATATGTGTAAGAGCACACTGAACAGATATACTTAATCTTACCGTCATCAGTCATACATACAACACTGGCAGCCTCATCTGGAGCACAGTTATGTACAGCCCATCCTGTGTTTGGACATTCTGCAATTGAGTTCTCTGAACCTGTGCATTCTACATCGTCCAATAAAAACACTCCATTTCCACTTCCATACATAGAATTACCAATGGCACTTTCAGCTCCTCTAATATTGAAATGAGTGTTATAAACATGATGTTTCCAAACAAATGTGACTAAACAAGGAATATATTAATAATCATTCTTACTAATTTGCTCTAACTTTATATTTTATTCAAAATTGTAAACATTTTTTCAACATTTGTTGGCAATTTCAGCACTAAAAGTGGTTGAAAATGAGGGTGTGGTTTTCTTGCAAAGGTCTGTGGATATTACAGCCAAATATGGTTCTATGACTCGAATGACAATGTTTATTTGATGAAAATTGAAAGGTTTTCTCAACTTGTGCGAGAAATCTCATCCAAGGCTTTTGGCGATGTGGAATTCTGCAACTTATTTTTAAACTAAATTTTGATTTGGGTATATTTATTTAGCAGTGAGTTGGAGATTTTTTTCCATGTGTACTTGCATGTTATGAGTATTAAATTGATACTATAGGTTTTTATGAATAATAATAATATCAACAAATTAGTTGGACAGCAGAAGTCACTTATTCCTATAAGTTGTGGAGCATGATGGGAGCTTTTGTTAACCAGTTTTTTGACAAGAGATACTGGAATTAGGTCATTGTATTTGTTGAAGGATTGTAATAAGTAACACACCTTTGATATCCCAGCTGTTTACAGATAACATGAGCATCATTAATATCCCATAAGTCATCACATATTATGCCCCAGGTACCCATATAAAACACTTCAACACGTCCTTCATTTGAGGATGAACCATCCACTAAACGGATTTCAACTGGTCTTGGTTCTACTGTCCCTGTAACATAAATTAACACAAGATAGTTAATGTATTCACATTGCCTGCCATAGTAAATGCACATTTTAAGAGTGATAACAGTTTTGTGTAACACAATAATAGAACTCAATAATGCATTGATCAAGTAATTTTGCTTTTATTGTGAGATAATATAGTGAATCTCATGAAGTCATGAATGTTTTTATGAAAATTTACAAAATATTTATGAGACATTTACCCAGAATTAGCTTCATTCAAATCCAAAAAATATGGTTTCATTGGTCATCCCTTCAATCATTGACGAATTTACTGTGGACATGCATCCATCAACACATTGTGATTGGTCAAGTTGTTTTTAACCATCTTTAGAATTTATAAGATAAATGAATATTTTATATAAAAGGAATTCATGCCTTCATATTTTGCTGTATCTATGTACAATAGCTTATTACTGTACACAATTTATCGTGAGAATACATGTACCTAAAATACACAAGCAAAATATAAGAGTAAAATAAATCATCTAACAAAAAATACCTTTAAAAAGCAATAGATACTTACCACAATCGCTTTCATCTGTGAAATCTCCACAATCATTATCACCATCACACACCCATGATGCTTCAATACATTGACCATTAGGACAGGCAAATAAACCACCATCACAAGTTACTAAAAAATACAATATTTTATCACATTCACTAAAAATGGTGTTTCATCAGTCAAAACAAATGATACCTTCATGTAAATTTAGAGCC